GAGAAGTAGAGTCCACTCCCAAATACATAACATAACTTATCTCTTCTTTCGCACATTTCAATTTCTCGAATTTTACTAACTCCCAAAATTTCCAAAAATTTTGCTAGAGTTTTCTTTGTAACTGGTCCTATCCACCTGCCAGAGAATCCCAGAAACCAATCCTAACAACACATACATAATCCAATCAACGTAACATAACATGAAAACAATACTAATAGTGGCCTCATAAGTAATATATTTCTAGAAAATGAACGACATTAACATCAACTATTCAGGTGATACGTAACTCATAGCAGGTAAGCTCCCAACATCTTCATAAAATATAGAAATGAATTTTTAAATTAAAGATGACATTTTTGGGTCATCACATTCTCCACCTCTAAAATAAACGTTCGTCCTCGAACGGAATTAGAGAAGTACCTGAGCTGGTGAAAAGATGTGGATATTTGCTCTGTATGTACGACTCGGACTCCCAGGTAGCTTCCTCAATCGACTGACCTCTCCATTGTACCCGAACTGAAGGATAACTCTTAGACCTCAACTGACAAACCTGCCGAGCTAGAATAGCTACCGACTCCTCCTTATAAGTCAAATCTTTGTCCAATTGAACTGAGCTGAAGTCTAACAGATGAGACAGATCACCATGATATTTTCGGTGCATAAATACATGGAATACCGGATGAACTGCTGATAAACTAGGTGGTAGTGCAAGCCTGTAGGCTACTTCACCCATCCTTTCAAGAATTTCAAAGTGTCTGATATACCAAGGGCTCAACTTGCCCTTCTTTCCGAATCTCATTACACCTTTCATAGGTAAAACTCGGAGCAACACTCTTTCTCCTGCCATGAATGCAACGTCACGAACCTTACGGTCGGCATAACTCTTTTACCTAGATTGAGCTGTGCGAAGTCGATCCTGAATAATCTTGATCTTATCCAAGGCATCCTGTACCAAATCGGTACCCAACAACCGAGCCTCTCCAGGTTCAAACTAGCCAACTGGCGAACGACATCGCCTCCCATATAATGCTTCATATGGGGACATCCGAATGCTCGACTGGTAGTTGTTATTATAGGCAAACCCCGCAAGTGGCAAGAGCTGATCCCAAGAACCTCCAAAGTCTATAACACAAGCGCGAAGCATATCTTCCAATATCTGAATAGTGCATTCTGAATGTCCGTCTATCTGTGGATGAAATGTTGTACTTAACTCAACCCGCGTGCCAAACTCACGTTGTACAACCTTCCAACAGTGCGAGGTGAATTATGTACCTCGATCAGAAATGATAGAGACGGGCATACCGTGAAGGCGAACAATTTCGCGGATGTAAATCTCCGCTAACCGCTTTAAAGAATAGGTAACTGCTACTGGAATGAAATGCAACGACTTGGTCAACCTGTCCACAATGACCCATATTACGTCAGACTTTTTCTGAGTTTGTGGGAGTCCAACAACAAAATCCACAGTGATACGCTCCCACTTCCACTCAGGAATTTCTAACTTTTGAAGCAAACCATCAGGTCTCTGATGCTCGTACTTAACTTGCAGATAATTCAGACACCGAGCTACATATGAAACTATATCCTTTTTCATCCTCCTCCACCAATAATGTTGCCGCAAATCTTGATACATTTTGGCGGCACCCGGATGAATAGAATACCGGGAACTATGGGCCTCTTCAAAAATTAATTCACGAAGCCCATCCACATTAAGAACACAAATACGACTCTGCATCCGCAGAACTCCATCATCTCCTACATCAACCTGCTTGGCACCACCGTGCCGCACCATTTCCTTAAGGACAAGCATATGAGGATCATCATGCTGTCGCTCTCTGATGCGCTCATATAAAAAAATGAGCGATTGTGTAGGCTAGAACCCGACTGGGTTTTGAAACATCTAACCTCACGAATTGATTGGCCAAAGTCTGAACATCTGCAGCTAACGGCCTCTCACAAGCCGGAATATATGCAAGGCTGCCCATACTCACAACCTTTATACTCAAAGCATCGGCCACCACATTGGCCTTTCCGGGGTGATACAAAAATGGTGTTATCATAGTCTTTCAACAACTCCAACCATCGTCTCTGCCTCAAATTGAGATCTTTTTGTCTGAACAAATATTGAAGGCTTCAATGATCAGTAAATACCTCACACGAGATACCGTAAAGGTAATGCCTCCAAATCTTTAGCGCATGAACAATAGCTGCCAATTCTAAGTCATGAACAGGATAATTCTTCTCGTGAACTTTCAACTGCCGTGACGCATATGCAATCACCCTGCCATCTTGCATCAATACTGCACCAAGTCCAAAGCGAGATGCATCACAATACACCGTATAAGCTCCTGAACATGTGGGTAATACCAACACTGGCGATGTAGTCAAAGCGGTCTTGAGCTTTTGAAAGCTCAACTCACACTCATCTGACCATCTAAATGGGGCACCTTTCTGGGTCAATCTAGTCTTAATAGTTGTTAATAATCAATTACAGAATCGCCAATTAACTTGATGTTAACAAAAATCTCGTTTCAAACCTTCACAATACTGATAACGAGATGTGAGACATGAAGACCTCATAGCTATTTATCCGAATTAACGAGTCATATTTAACGCCATAGGTACCTACCTCGTAGGTTAAAACTCAATAATTACAACACAAATTTGGCAAGTATGCACAGAGAATTTCATACAAGAATTTTCAAATAAGCCTAACAGGCATGACTCCCTATTAGTACTATAGTACAAATTTAATTTCACAAGGGAGAACTTAAACACAAGAATTTTCATCGCAAGGATCTCGTCCTTATATGTCTTTTGTATATTTTGTATCTGATTTATACATAGTAAAAATAAATTTCATACAACTAATTATATATTATACAACTTATTTACAACTTTCATACATTATTTCTACCAGTTATATACAACTACAATATCATACCACTTAAATACAATTTTTTATATAAATTTTATACAATATGTATTTTGTATATTTTGTATTTAATTTATACATAATAAAAATAAATTTCATACAACTAATTGTATATTATACAACTTATCTACAACTTTCATATATTATGTCTACCTAGTTATATACAACTACAATATCATACCACTTAAATACAATTTTTTATATAAATTTTATACAATATGTATTTTGTATATTTTGTATTTAATTTATACATAATAAAAATAAATTTCATACAACTAATTGTATATTATACAACTTATCTACAACTTTCATATATTATGTCTACCTAGTTATATACAACTACAATATCATACAACTTAAATACAATTATTATACAAATTTTATACAATATGTCTTTATATATATTTTTGTATCTGATTTGTATATATTTTGTGTATGGTGTGTGTTTCTTCCTCTCTAAAATTCCAATCAAAACTTACTCTCTTAATACAATTTTGATACATATCAATAACTTTATGTAAACAGATTGTATTGATAACTTAAATATAAATTTTATACAACGATTCATACATTATACAACTATTGTTCAACTTTCATACAACACTCAAATAAAAAAATATATAACTACAACATAATATAATTTATATACAATTATACTACAACTTTACTACAATTTCGTAAGTATAATGTATGTCATGTCTTCTTCTTTTTCGACTTTCAATCTGAAATTTATCCAAAAATAAAGTCTAATCTTCACCAAACACCCTCAAAATTGAGATATAAACTCCAAACAATATTCTCAATTATTTACAACAACACCCAATCCAAACAAATAATGGTTGTTGAAACCCCAAATTCGGATTCAAAGTTTCAAAGCTTTTTAATTGCTGTCAACGGTGGAGAGTCAAACAACTTCAAAATTTATTGATTGACAATTTCAATTTGAACACCAATTGTGCAACATTACTGAAATTTGAACACCAATTGTGCAACACCTTCAGCTCTACATTACTGGAATTTCAATAAAGCATGGAATTGCTGCTCTCTTTCCCTTTGCTCTACATTACCTCAAAATTGAGATATAAACTCCAAACAATATTCTCAATTATTTACAACAACACCCAATCCAAACAAATAATGGTTGTTGAAAACCCAAATTCGAATTCAAAGTTTCAAAGCTTTTTAATGGCTGTCAACGGTGGAGAGTCAAACACCTTCAAAATTTATTGATTGATAATTTCAATTTGAACACCAATTGTGCAATATTACTGGAATTTAAACACCAATTGTGCAACACCTTCAGCTCTACATTACTGAAATTTCAATAAAGCGTGGAATTACTGCTCTCTTTCCCTTTGCTCTACATTACTGGAATTAGGGATTGAGAGATAGAGAAAGACGTAGAGAGAGAGAGAGAGAGAGAGAGAGAGAGAGAGAGAGTTGAGGAGGGAGAATAAGGATGAGAAATAATTGATTTCTAATATAAAGGAATACTCATTTAATTCCTAAAGTGTATATAATTGGTAAATTTGTATATAGTATGTAATTAGATTGAAACTTGAGTAGGGAGAGTAATAAAGTTTAAAATAGTGTATAAGAATATAAAAATTCCATTTTTTTAATCATATTATTTATATTAGGCCGGGTTCTTGTGTAAATAAGTTGCTTGTTCCCGATATATATTAATTAGTTCACATAATCTCCGTGCATGCTGCGTCCCACAGCATTCATTTGCGCACACGCCCCTTACCATACCTTTTGTTCTTTAATTAGACACGAGATAAGAGCAATATCCAGATGTCTTTGACATAACGAAGAATTCTAGTGAAGTGGCAAAAAGGATTCAGAATTTCCTTTAATCTAAGGTGCAAATTACTGTTGGAAATATTGATCCTAGTCCAGATTAGCTAGACTTGTCAGACTAGTTTTATTTGTATTGGGCCAGGCCCACATTTGTTTGGTAATTATTCTTTACTTCTTTTTTCTTCATTTTTGTATAGTTGGGCCGGATCACATATATGGAGACCCAATAGGTCTGATACAAAACCAAACTTGTACATTTTCATTTTCATATATGAAAGAAAGCTTTCCTTCTCTCTCGACCACAGTAAACCATAGCATAATTTCAATCGATTTCATCTCATTTCCGCTGTCAACATGGTATCAGAGCCCGGAATCTCATAAATTCGGTTATCCTCTATTGTCCGATGTTACCCTCGAGGAGTATCACCGGGATTTTCGTTTGATCGGAGAATTTTTTTTTCGAATCGTCATTTTCTATTTTTTTAGATTGCTTGAGTTTTGCTGCTCATTTTTGGGTTGTCTATCTCCGGCTGGTCCCTGAAATCTAAATTTTCGGTTGCAATGATGTATCTCAGCCTTCAATTTTGCCTAAATTTGAAGTCGTTGTTCTTCTGGATTTTCGGAGCATAGCTGGATAAATTCTTTTCATTTCAAGGCCGTACTCTTCCGGTTGCGAAGAATTGTGGTATATTCTTTCCTTTGTTTACTGTTTTCATCTTCGATTGCATGTCTTAGGGTTTATCGGAATTTTTAGCTAGAAATCGACATTTTGTGTGGTTGAGTATGCCTATTTCTGAAAGTTTTGTCTGATGGCTATCTCGTCGGGTACCTCCTCTTCCTCTTCTGTGGATAATTTCACTACTGTTGAACACACTGCTACAAGTCGTCTTCCTTTTCATCCTGATGATTATACGCATACATGCCACCCTCTATATGTGCATCCTTCTGACCTCTTAGGTTCTTCTTTGGTCACTGAGCCTTTTGATGGCTCATGTTATGGGAGTTGGCGAAGGTCTATTTTAGTGGCTTTGTCCGTTAGGAACAAGATGGAATTTATTCATGGAACCTCTGAGAGACCTCCAGAAGGGTCTACTCTTCTTCGCCAATGGCAAATATGCAATGATTTAGTTGTTGCATGGCTGGCTAACTCTGTGACCAAGGAAATTCATCGTACTGTTGTTTATTCTGAGTTTGCCAAAGACATTTGGAAGGAACTTGAGACCAGATATGGGAAGGCTGATGGGCCCAGGGTCTTTGAGTTAAAAAGGGAGGTGGCTCATATCTCTCAGGGTGCCCTTGATATTACTTCCTACTTCAATAAACTCAAACAACTTAGGGATGAATTGGCCTCTCTCTCTGCCAGTTCTGATGTTAGGTGCACATGTGGGGAAAGTATTAGGTCTGAGGAAAAACAAAAGGTCTATCAGTTCCTCATGGGACTCGATGACACTTATGTTCAAGTCAGAAGCAACATATTGATGATCAAGCCCATCCCTTCCATTGACACAGTCTACAATATTCTTCTAAGTGATGAGAAACAGAGGCAGGTGTCTACTGGATCTCATTTTTCTTCAGAATCTGCTTCTTTCAATGGTGAGTCTTCTAAGCAGTCTTACACTCCCAGGGTGAGTTTTGATAATCAAAGGGCTGCAATCACTTGCAAATACTGTAAAAAGACTGGGCATAACATTGATAAGTGTTACAAGCTCCATGGTTATCCATCAAATTTCAAATTCTCTAAGACTGCTGGTCCTAGGAAGGCTGCAGCACATAGTACAGCTGATTCATCTGCATCTCAGGCATGTGTGTCTCATCCAAATGATGGTGTTGTCCCAGCTGGTTTCTCTAATTCTTCTTCTGCTTTTCCTGGCCTGACAAAGGACCGATGTTCTCAGCTGATACAACTTTTGTAACAAACTCATGTCACTCCTGATTCCTCTCAGTCACTCATGGCTTCTGCACATTTTGCTGGTAGGATAGCCACTCATAGTGTTCTTCTTAAGCCTGCTTTGTTTTCACAAGTTAGTATTTCTGATTGGATCATTGATTCTGGGGCATCTGACCATATGACCTCTCTCAAATCTCTCCTCTTCAATATTCAACCTCTTACCGTTCCTTGTCTTGTTTCTCTCCCAAATGGTTACAAAGTTAAAGTTACAAACTCTGGATCCTTAACTTTGTTTCATAATTTCACTCTTCACAATGTTCTTTATGTTGCTAGTTTTCACTAAAATCTAATTTCAATTCATAAATTGGTTGATCAGTTTGATGGCATTGCATAATTTACTAAGGTTTTATGTGTATTACAGGGCCCTTCTCTGAAGAATCCTCTAGCTCTTGGTAAATTGGACAATGGGCTCTACAAGCTGCAAGTACCCATGTTTAGGCCTGATAACTATGTTTTAAATTCTGTTTTTTCTTCTGCATGTACTGTTTCTAGTAGTTCTATTGTTTCCTCTTATAATTCTGCACCTGCTGTTTCTAATAAAATGGATATTGTTTGGCATTTTAGACTTGGTCACATACCATTTTCTAGAATGAAGGGCATTCCTGTTTTTAGTCCTTGTCTCTCTTCTAAACAGTCATTTCCTTGTTCTGTATTTCCTTTGGCTAGGCAAACCAGACTCCCTTTCCCTAATAGCACCATTCACTCTACTGCTCCTTTTCAATTGATTCACATTGACACTTGGGGCCCTTACCACTCTTCTACTTCCCATGGTGACAAATATTTCCTTACCATTGTAGATGATTATTCTAGAGCTACTTGGACCCATTTGATGGGTGCTAAGAGCAATGCTTTTGATCTACTCAAAGCTTTCATTGCTATGGTTGATACTCATTTTCATACTCATGTTCAAACAATTAGAAGTGACAATGCTTTTGAACTAGGATCTAGTACTATTGGCTCCAAGTTCTTTTCTGCCAAGGGTATAATTCATCAGACCACTTGTCCCTATACTCCACAATAAAATGGTGTTGTGGAGAGAAAGCATAGACATTTACTTGAAACTTCTAGGGCTTTGTTATTCCAATCTAAACTTCCTATTTCTTTCTGGGGTGATTGCATCTTAACTGCCACCTATCTCATTAACAGATTCCCTTCTCCTCTGTTACAATACAAAACTCCTTTTGAATTGCTTTGTGGTTCACCTCCATCTTATGGCCACCATAGGACTTTTGGTTGTTTGTACTATGCTACTATTCCTAGAGTCCTTAGGGATAAGTTTGATCTCAGGTCTGTCCCTTGTATTTTTCTGGGGTATCCCTTTGCTAAAAAGGGTTACAAATTGTATAATCTTGTCTCCAAGTCTTGTTTTGTTTCAAGGGATGTTCAATTTCATGAACATATTTTTACCTTCTACTCTAGTCCTTCCTCTTTTCCTTCTGTGTTTACTTCTTCTCCCTCTTTTCCTACTGATTTCCATTATATCCCATGTCCTGGTCCTTCTCTTTCGTCTTCCCCTGTTCCTTCTGCCTCATCTCCTTTACCTAATTCCGACTCTCCAGCTTCATGTCCTCCTGCTGATACTCCTGTCAGGAGGTCCTCTAGGCCTCGTAATCCTCCAAGATATCTTAAAGACTATGTTTGTTCCCTTCCTTCCTCTTCTCCTTCTTCCTCCTCATCAGCTTCCTCTTCTTCTTCACCTTTGGTTGAACATGCCACTTATTCTCAGGTTGCTTGTATACCTGAGTGGCAGGAAGCTATGACCCAGGAATTTGAAGCTTTGGAGGCTAATGGCACCTGGTCCATTGTTGAGCTTTCTCCAGGCAAGAAACCCATTGGTTGCAAGTGGGTATATAAGGTCAAACAAAAGGCTGATGGGAGCATTGAGAGATATAAGGCTAGATTGGTTGTTAAGGGGGACACACAGGTTGAGGGTATTGATTTTCATGAAACTTTTTCACATGTTGTGAAAATGTCCACCATCAAGACCCTGATTGCAGTTGCTGTTAAAAAGCATTGGCCCATATTTCAGTTGGATGTCAACAATACTTTCTTACATAGTGACCTTGATGAGGAGGTTTTTATGAAGTTGCCTCCTGGCTATATTATTTCTTCTCCCTCCTCTTCTGGGCAGTTGGTTTGCAAATTGCAAAATCTTTTTATGGTCTTAGGCAAGCCTCAAGACAGTGGTATGCCAAACTCTCTTAAGCCCTGTCTTCTAGAGGTTATCAGCATTCCCTCAATGACTACTCCTTGTTCACCAAGGTTTCTGGGGATTCTATTGTGGTTTTAGCTGTATATGTGGATGATATTATTTTAACTGGGACTGATAGTACTGAGATCTCTGCCCTTAAGTCTTTCTTTCATCAACAGTTCAGAATCAAAGATTTGGGTTCCCTTAGTTATTTTTTGGGTATAGAAGTTTTCTATTCAGCATCTGGGGTTCTCTTGCATCAGAAAACGTTTCTTCATGACCTTCTTCTTGAGTTCCATTGTTCTGATGTCACACCTGTGGTTTGTTTCCTCCTTCAGTCAGTCAAGCTCAAGGCCAAGGAGGGTGTTCCCCTTCCTAAACCTGAGGTGTACAGGTCTTTGGTTGGGAGGCTGAATTTTCTCACCCACACCAGGTATGATATCTCTTTTGTTGTGCAGCATCTTTCTCAGTTCATGCAATTTCCTTGTGTGCCTCATGTAGAGGCTGGTTTGCATTTGCTGAAGTACTTGAAGGGCACTGCTGAGCTTGGAATCTTTCTCAACAATACCCCTGATTTTTCTGTTGCTGCTTTATGTGATAGTGACTGGGGTGCTTGCCTAGACACTAGGAGATATGTCACAGGTTTTTGTCTGCTCTTGGGTGGTAGCCTTGTGGACTGGAAGTCAAAGAAATAACCTGTGGTGTCCATGTCTTTTGTTGAGGCTGAATATAGAGCCATGAGCAAGGCTGTCAGTGAGGTTACTTGGATGCACATGTTGCTCTTGGATTTGGGCGTTTCTTGTTTTTCTTCTATTCCCTTGTTCTGTGACAGCCAAGCTGCTATTCACATTGCCAAGAATCCTGTTTTTGATGAAAGGACTAAGTGTTAAACTATACTGATAGTGTAAAAAAATACTAATGTGATCAGCTTGTGTGATTTTAACCCTGGAGTAGAGACATTTGAAAAATAAATATTGAATTAAATAGGGATTTTTACTAAGATATACAAAATTAAATACATATTTATAATAGGGGGTTTTCACTTTTAGCCCGCGCCTGAAACTATTTATATTTGATAACCGATAAAGTGTATAAAATTTGTATAATTTGTGTATATAACATACAAATTATTATATATATATATATATATATATAGGCTATTTCTTTGTTGAGATTATTTAATAGTTAGCCACATTTTACTCACCTTACATATACATAGGCTATTTCTGTATAGGCTACTTCCGTAAACATTTAGGCTATACGTGTAATAAGGAGTTAGACACGGCGCCACCTGTGCATATGTATAAGTGTATTGTACAGATATTTTGTAATGTAGCAAAAATTATTTTCTCTGCTTCAATTTGTTTCTCGAGGCTTCCCAGTGTGGGTGCTTTTCCATTTTCCTCCATTGGAGTTCAATCTGAGCTCGATTGCATCGGTTATCTTCAATATTTTGTCATCCTTTATAATAAAACTCATTCCAAAATTGATTCTGACTGGGGGTATATTTGGTATGCAAGAAAACATTATCATACAATGTCAAATTGAATCATCAAATGAAGTCCTATATAATAGTAATAACTCTAATTAACACTATTGCTATTACAATAAAACCACAATATTTTACGTAAGTTATGGTTAACATGTTGATTTTACAACATGTTGATTTTAATTATTTGAAGTTGGAGTCAAGTTGTGTGAAACGTGCACTTGAATTTGGAGTTACGTATCGTGACTATGTCACGGGAACCGTACCCATAGTCACGATGATTTATTAATCGCACATGAAGCAAGCTACGAATATTTATAAGATTGTTTACTCAAACTATTTTTGAAATTGTTGTAAAGTCATGAATTATGGAATTATTTGTGGAAGAATTGGATTTATTACTTATAGAAAAGTGGGCTAGCTTAGAGAAAGATGGGTCAGCTATGTTATTTATTACTTTGGGCCTGATGAGACTAAATCTTTTGGCCCAAAATCTTTTCTTCTCCAACAGCCCAAAAACCAATTTCCTTAGAAACAAATCGTGGCCCAAACAAATTATCCAACCCATTATCCCATATTCTGTACATTTCTTAAACAAAACTAATGACACCACAATCTCATGAACAAAATTAGTAAACAAACCAAATTACAGTGATTCAATAGACCTTTTATTCGGTTAAATCAACTCAAAACAAAACTTTGCAACTCTAAAATTAACATCATGGTCCAATAAACATATGAACAAGGAAACAATCAGATTCAAATGATCCAAATATCAATTGAGTGAACTACTACTTCATGCTATCCAATAATCACACTAATAGACAAGAAGGTAAATGGACAATTATAATCAGTGAACAAAAGGGAAATAACGAACCTTTGATATAAATTAACAGAGTTGAAATTACAAGAGCTTTAAACAATTCGACGAGTGTTGACTGGAGCTTTCACCTGCCACGAAACCTCAAACAAAAAAAATTGCGACTTACAACCCCGCTCGACCTTGCAAAACTGGTGATTTAGTGACTTATTTTTGCTAGGTTTAAAGCTATTTTTGGGGGGTGATTTTGCTGAATTTTTCGAAAGAAAGACGAAGAAAGAATGACACGAGTAGAAATTTCCTTATCCTAGAAGAAAATAAATTTTTCTTAATTACTTCCTCCCTCTTTTTTTTTTCTTTCTCTCCCCCTTCTCTCCTCACATTTCTCTTCTATTTATAGAAAAAAAATCAAAAATTTTCAGATTGTTTTAATTATTTTATTGTTTTTTAAAAATCCCACTTTCCATTTTTCTTCTATTTTTTTTAAAAATAATTTCCCACTTTCCTTTACTTTTATTTTTTTATTTCTCACTTATTTTAATTTTTTTTCTAATTTCAACTTTTTTCACTTTTCTTTTTTTATTTTCCACTTATTTTACTTTTTTTTTAATTTTCACTTTTTTTACTTTTTATAAACAATTTCAGCCACATTTACTTTTATTTTTTTTTAATTCTAACTTTCTTTTACTTTTTATTTTTTAAGTTTTCACATTCTTTTACTTTTATTTTTTTAATTTTTCACCTTCTTTTACTTTTTAAAAAAAATAATTTCCACCTACTTTTACTTTTACTTTTTTATTCCATACTTTTAATTTTTCTATTATTTTATTCCCATCCGATTTTTTTTAAAAATATTTACTTTTTCGAGTTTTTTTAAAAACAATTATTTTATTTTAAAATTAAGATAAAAATAAAAATAATACTAATAGTAATAATTGACCTTTTAAATTATTTTTTAATTTTTACCCTATATAAAAAAAATGTAGCAAATCTTAAAAATATATATATTAAATTTCTAAAAATATTTACATAGTAGAAGATGATAAAAGTTCAAATATAGCCAAAAATTAGGTGCTCACAGCAGTCCCTCTTTGCTTGGAAACATGAAGAGTTTTCAGGCAAAGACTAGGTGAGCAATGTGACTAATTTTTGACCAAATTATTATTCAAAAGGAAAAAAAATAAAAGATAGGGTGCGACCGAGTCCTGGTTTTGGACAACCTGCATTTCTCGGGTAGAGCTGTCAAAACGGGCTGGCCTAGCCCAGCCCTCGCGGGCCACGAAAATTGTTGGGCTAGGACAGGCTGGCCCTTCACGCAAAAAGGCCTTAAAATAGCCAGCCCAACCCAACCCTAAGAGGGTCGTGGGCTAGGATGGGCCGGCCCTTTATTTTTAGTCTTTTTTTATAAGATAATTTTATTTTCAAATGGTTAATGAAGCTTCAAGAATCAAGATATGATGACTAATAAAGAAATGAAAAAGACTTGAAAACATACCAACAAAAGTGAAACACACTTTATTATAAATTCATCAATACTTCGTATATATCAGAATTGCAATTTTGTCAATTACAATCAAGAAACTAAATAATTGTCCAAGATATTAATAGATCATCCAAATATAAAAAATAAACGTTCAACAACCAAAATATACTCTACTAGACTACTTCGTAGTGTCTGATCAAATCTTAGGTCCATAATTAAACTGTCCCGTTGCCAAAAAATATATTGTATAATCAAAAAGTCATTAAACGAATGACATCAGTCGTCATTTGTCTTAACATTTTCATCTTCATCTTCATCTTCCTCTGCACTTCATATGTAATGTTGATTAGTTAAACATTAACAAATAACTACATTTTAAAAATAAACGATATTAAATCCACATAAAAATATTACCACTTTGAGTTTGAGTAAAGCCGTGCAACCAATTTCGAGTAGCAACAAGTGTTTAGATATTTTCATGATGGATACAACTTCTATACTTGGTGAGAACACGGTCACCAATACTAAATGTTGATTCCGATGCTACAGTAGTAATCGAGATACTAAGTACATCTCGCGCCATTACTGATAAGTCAGGATATTTTCCAGAATGATTCTTCCAATACATGATAACATCCATTTCGCGAAACTTATCAAAATCAAGCTTTGGCTCCTCTAAATAAATATCCAATTCTGATTTTCCATCATTGGAAGCAGATTCATTCTCAAATGCTTTGAATTCCTATAAGTTAAACACATGACACTAC